CTGCACGCGGGATACTTTGAAGAAAACTGAAAATTGTGACTTGCTGCTGGCTACTTTGTATGTGTGTCATCTCCCAGTAACTGCCTCTTCCACAGCACCATCGCGCTTTGTGTTACTCTTCACAGCACCGTTACTCTTCACAGTGTTGTTTTCAAGGTGTAAAACAGCACAGGCTAGAGCTAAGCATAGTAAAAGCTCCTTGAAGAGCTTTAACTAACATATCACAACTTAATCCACCCTGAAATACCCTCCTCTCCTGGACACCCCCCCCCATCTGGACTTTTCCCACCTGCCATTATTCCAGTCCTGGGTGTCTCAAACAGGAAGGGTTGTGTTACAGCTCAGAGACAAATGCTGAGAAAGGCTCAGGTGACACCATCAAACCAAACTAGCCAGGTCATCTGTTGGGCTACCTAGCCCCTAAGGTTCTCTGAGCTTTCTCTTGCCATAAGAAGAAGAAACCAAACACCTGTGCAACTAGGCGGCTGTAGGAAACCAGAAATACTGACAGAGCTCCTGCATCAATTGTGAGGAGAGCACCTCCGCAAAAAATTAGCATTCCCTGACCAGTACGGAGCAGGTTCTGAAAAGAGAAGCTCTTCAAAGAACCGAAGCAAAGTGTAAAAGAGTAAACGGAAACAACAATTTCCATGATCAGGAGAGCTCAAGGCCAGGTATTCAAAAGAACAGCAGTTTCTGAACACATGTACTTTTAACACACTGCACTTCTAAATGACTGTACAAAAGTCTGACTCATAGAAACAGAGCAATCCAGGCTTAACTTCCATTCTCCATTACAGTGATTTTGTTTTTAAATACAAAACACCAGGGAAAAATACGTCCAGAAAGCTCAGCCTTAAATATACACTTATTTTAAAAGTTTTCCAAATGGCCTGTGTAGCATTTCCTATAATGTACGTATGATACCTTGGAATACTTGGGAGAAGAAATGTGATCTGTTTTTTCCAAACTCTGAGCTGCTCCGTTTTGAAAGGTTAGAACATCTATTACAAATTAGGCAGGAGTGAGGAACTGACGTGAGTGTTGTTGCAAGTACAGATCTGGACTGATTTAGCAGAACTGCGTACAGGAAACAGTGAGAAACATGTCAAGATCTTACAGCGAATGTCACATTTAGTATATTCCTTGTCTCTACTCTGGCTCATATTTTTGCAAAAGCCGGGAATATGAGAAATACCCCACGGCTCCCCTCCCTTCCTAAAGAATGGGCAAGCCCTTTCTTTCTAGTAGGGGCTGCTGGATGTATTTCCCTCCAAATCTAACCAAGGTTATTGGTGGTGCAAAGGGTGACTGGACAGCAGCTCCCTAGTCCCACCAAGCTCGGGGCTTGTTGTCAGTCAGAAGGACACCTAGAAAATGAGGCACTCTCTTCACAGGACTGAATACCTACACAGCTTTCCTACTTCCTTCTAGTCCTGAAAGGTTGGATTCCCACAGTAGCTCAACTCACTGTGCAGAACAACTATAATAAACCATCAAGTTGAACAGAACATGATCCACCCTCCGATTCTAACTCTTAAATTCTCTTTTCTCTTGTTTCTCTGCCTTGTGATTTATCTACTGATTCATTACTGGCCTTGCAGCTGAATGCTTTAGTTCAGTGTTTCTTAAACCGTGTTCCGCAGCATACCGGTGTGCCACGAGGCAGTCGGAGGTATACCGGGGAGAACAACAGAATTCAAAATGGCCGCCCTTAAAGGGGCAGGTGACCTTTTTATCTTTTTTTTGGCCCAACTTTCCCCTGACCCTTTTTTCCCCCCCTTGCCCTCCCCCCCCTTTTTTAGAGGGGTGGGGTCAACAAAAAATCCTTGGTGTTCCTCAAAAAAATATTGTTTGGTGTTCCTTGGTCTTAAAAAGTTTAAAAAACACTGCTTTAGTTTAATCCAACTATGTCTGAGTAAAAGACACCATTTCTTGCATGATGCCCAGTATGCAACTGTGCAAAGCACTGCAGGACACAATTTGTAGGACATGTGGAAGACAAACATGAATTATTCTATAAGACATTCTAAGTCAGTTCAGTAGCAGAAGAGGAAGGCAACATGCTATTTGGAGGATGGGGAAAGAAAATATGTTTGTACCTACTGAATCCTTAAGCCAGGTCTGGGCAAGATGCGACCTGGGGGCCAGATCCAGCCCGCCTAACACTTTGAGCCGGCTCGCGGACTGCATCTGGCTGCTTTCTATTTATACCCTGTTGCCCAAGCCACCGAATTTTCAGGTGGTGGTTCAGGCAACAGGATCTATTTAAATGGCTTCTGGCTCCCGGTCGTGGTGCTACCCCAGAAGGGGCTGGAGCCACAAACCTTTTAAATTGCCTGGCAGGCATCCACGTTGCTGTGGCTATGAGGAAATAGTGGGGCCAGAAGCCCTGAGCCCTTTGCTCTATTTTTACTTCAAAGCCTCTGGACCCAAACAAATCTGGGGGGAGGCCAGTCCCCAGACTTCACCCCTTCTGAGATTAGAGCCGGCCCATGACCAGTACCAAAATTCATTGTGGCCCCACCCCCTGCAAAAAAAAAAAAAAGTGTGCCCTCTCCTGCCTTAAATCCTACCCCAAAAAAGTCAAATGAGACATCTTCCTTTCCCCGCTATGCACCTCCTCCCTCCCCTCAGCTGTCCCCTAGACTCAGAAAATCTATTCGTTTACCCAAACAAAAGCTGCCATTCAAAGTTCATCTTCTCTGCTGGGCAATACACAAGCAGCTCATTCAAACTACAGAGATTACCGAAAGTAGTCGGCATATGGAAAACAGCCTCCAAATGTGCTCTGTTACATAAACCCGCTTGGGCCCATGAATGGTACAGGTCAGCAGCCAGATTTAGATGTGTACACACAGCTGGAGAAAGTTAGAGCCAGTGCATAGGACACAGGGCCAGAAAGCAAGAGACCTGGGTTCTGTGCCTGGTTTTTCCACTGAGCCACAAGAAGCTTCACTTCTTTGGGGAAATAAGACACATGGGAAGAACGGTACCCTCCTTCTGTAAAACACTCCAAGACCTACAGCGAAGGGTGCTATGCAAGAGGTAAGCAGCGTTATTTATACGCCCAGCAATCCTGACAATGACCCATTTAAAGCAGCGGCACAAGTTGCCCAAATATTCCCATCTCTGTATTTTGTTACAAGCAGCATCCCAGCAGGCTACTGGTTCTGCAGCTCCCAACCCCCTCTGCATCACTACTTGGAGAAGCTATGCTCGGTTTGTTGGGTAACACTCATTTTATACACTGAAGAGTTCTAGGATTAACTTGCAAGTGCGCTTTTTATCTAAAAGGAAAGGGCTCACTAGGAAAACTTCCTTCATTAGTATATGTGAATAGGTTTCACCTTCCTTTGCTGACTACTCTGTTTTATTAGAGCTCATTCTCTCTCTGGGGGTATGTCTACACTACAGAGTATTGTTGGAAAAACGGCCATTTTTCTGACAAAACTTGAGGAACGTCTGCACTGCAATTGCATTCTTCCGCAAGAAAATTGAAAGAACAGAGGGTTTTTTCTGGCACTGGTAATCCTCATTCTACGAGGAAGAAGCCTTTCGCAAAAAGGCATGTGTAGACGGGGAAGAGGGAGTTCTTTCAGAAGAAGAGGAAAGAGGAAAAAGCACGGGTGCTCTGGTGGCCATTCCATCCATAGCAATCACAGCTTACATGCGAGAGAGTGTCTATTCAGTGTGGACGCTCTCTTCTGAAAAAACAGATTGCTTTTTCGATGCACTTTTGTGGTGAGGACGTCTCTTTCAGAAGAAGTTTTTTTGGAAGATCCCTTCTGAAAAAAGCTTCTTCTGAAAGAAGCCTGTAGTCTAGATGTAGCCCCAGGCTACTGAAGGTGGAGAAAGCCCAGTGATCTTACTGCAATGGGAGCAAAACACAGGAGGCAGTGAATGGACCAAGCTGCCCTAATCTCTATGATCATTTTGCTGAAGGTGGCATCGATACTGGGTTGGCAACATGACGGATAGGATTCCCTTCACTGAAATCTTTGGCAACACTATGCTCTCGGG